GGGGGGGGGTACTGCAAATACCAAGGACTGGTTCCCATTCCCCTTCTACAGCTAGGAAGGGCCCCCAGAGCACCGGTAGAAGGTCGTGCCCTAGGGCTATGAAAATACACCTCTTCCCCAAGAAGCCCCCAACTTAAGGAAGGATTTAATTACTGACAATTGCCAATCACGTACACTTGCTCTTATCTACAAGCCTTTGATAGGTTGTGCCCTTCCTTTGGAATACTTCACTCTCTTCCTCCAACATATAAAAGTGCCCCTCACCTTATCAATTCTTATTCAACCTTCTGGTCTCAATTTAAAAGTCCTTACTGCCAGGCCGGGCGTGGTTCAGCAGTTGAGCATCGGCCTAGGACCCAACCGATCAAGGTTCAATCCCGGTCAGGGCACATGCCCGGGTTGTGGGCTTGATCCCCAGTCCAGGGCCATGCAGGAGCCAGCCGATCAATGACTCTCTCATCCTTGATGTTTCTATCTCTCTCTTCCTCTCTCTGAAATCAATAAAGAATATTTAAAAATAAAATAAAGTCCTTACCTGCCCTGGCTGGTGGTGGCTCAGTTGGTTGAGAGTCGTCCCCTGCAGTGAAAGGTCACCTGTGCGATTACTGGTCAGGGCACTTGCCCAGGTTGTCGCTAGATCCCCATTGGGGTTCCTGTGGGAGGCAGCCAATTGATGTTTCTCTCTCTCCCTTCCTCTCTCTAAAATCAATTTTTAAATATATATATTAAAAATCCCTTCCCCAGGGAATCCTCCAGCCAATGTTAGAAGCAACAGCCTCTTGCTCCAAATCTTGCTTGGGACAAGGGGGTAAAATTGTTACCAGGGAGATGGTGAGGAGGCCTCTGTTTTTGTCTTCTTGAGGGAGCAATTTCAATCAAGAGACAAAGTATAGAAAAGAAAGCAAGAATTTATTGGCTGCAGCAAAAATATACTTAAGACAATGAAAAAAGGAAGAGCATAGAAGAAGCAACAGGAGAGCTTAGGCTGGGCTGCTTTGGCTCACTGGGAAGTCATTGGAAAGGGGGAGAAGGGGGCCTTGGAGACAGGTTCAGGGGGTAAGACCAGGATGGGCTGCTGCTGCCCATTGCTCCCCTGGTTGCAAGACTCCTGAGGTCCTCTCAGAGGGGAGAAGGAGATGGCTCTGGCATGCTCCCCTGGAGGAGGGGGGCACGGAGCTCAAGCTGGGTCCTTTGTCCTGAGTGTATTTATCTCTTTCTTGCAGGCGGGAAATCTTAGGGGAGGTCTCAATAGAATAGCCATCAGCTTTCCCGGTGTGCTCTTTCAGTGTCGTGGTCTCCAATGATTGGTCAGTGCCAAGGCAGGGAGTCTTTAGTCGATGTAGCTGGTCCTGAGGCAGCCACAGTGTCACTTGTCTGGTTTTGCTGCTTTTCTGGGCTTGGAGCTACAATACAACTGAGGCCTAGATGTTATCTTTAGGGAAGAAAGCTCCGGGGGTCTAAACCGCATGACCAGTGATATGCTAGGGGAGGATAGGTTACCCTGGGGACAAAGTTCTTGTTTTCCCAGTTTCGCCCCTTGCTAAGCATCTGGGGCTTCCTGCCCTGGTGAATTTATATACTCTAGTTTCTGTACCAGGGTTTCTGTACCTGGCCCATCTAACACAAACCATTTACTCTCAAGTGTCCTTGGTTTAGGGAAGATTTACCTTGTGGCTACAAACTGCTGTTTAACTATGCTGTTTCCTTATTCCACTTGCCCTGGAATTTTCCTAGCTTTTATTGTGCTATAACGAAATGATGTTGAGAAAAGTGGGGATGAAGAGACAGGTGGAGCTGAGAGATTGCCCAAGAGAAAGGAGTCGTGTGTAGAAGCCATATAGATGGCCTGGTCTTTCTATAATATCAATTTCTCTGGATCATTTGGGGAGGGAATAAAAGTCTGTAACCTAAAACATTAAAAAAGCTTTTTCTTTTTCTTTTAAATATATCTTTATTGATTTCAGAGAGAGGAAGGGAGAGGGAGAGAGAGAGATAGAAACATCAATGATGGGAGAGTCGTTGAAGGGCTGCCTCCTGCAAGCCCCAGACTAGGGACCAAGTCCACAACTCAGGCATGTGCCCTGACACGGAATCCAACCGCGATCTCCTGGATCCTAGGCTGACGCTCAACCGCTGAGTCACACCGGGCCAGGCAAAAAAAACCCACAACTTTTTATTGATTGGTTTGAGAGAGAGAGAGAGAGAGAGCTTGATTTGTTGTTCCACTTACTTAAGAATTCATTGGTTGCTCCTTGTATGTGCCCAGACCAGGGGAATCAAACCTGCACCTTTGGTGTGTGGGGATGATGCCCTAACCAACTGAGCTACCCAGCCAGGGCTTAATTTAAATCTTTTTAAAATTAAATGTTTTAAGTTAAATATCTTAAACTATTCTTAAAGTCTTAAAGGAATATTAGGACTTAATAGCAAAATTCTCCAGAATTTTTAAGCTAAAACATGAAATTTCTATTAAAAACTTTTCTTTTTCCTTGCTTGTGGGGTAGAATTTGGGCTCCTTCCCCAACTGGGGCTGATTCCCTTTGCTCTGAGGTTGAGGGATGAGAGCCCAATGCCTGGCAACTAGTGATGGCAGCTATTGTGATTTCGGGAGGCCTGGAAGGGACGCTAAGTGCCCNAAAGGAAGAGCATAGAAGAAGCAACAGGAGAGCTTAGGCTGGGCTGCTTTGGCTCACTGGGAAGTCAGAGANAAAGGAAGAGCATAGAAGAAGCAACAGGAGAGCTTAGGCTGGGCTGCTTTGGCTCACTGGGAAGTCATTGGAAAGGGGGAGAAGGGGGCCTTGGAGACAGGTTCAGGGGGTAAGACCAGGATGGGCTGCTGCTGCCCATTGCTCCCCTGGTTGCAAGACTCCTGAGGTCCTCTCAGAGGGGAGAAGGAGATGGCTCTGGCATGCTCCCCTGGAGGAGGGGGGCACGGAGCTCAAGCTGGGTCCTTTGTCCTGAGTGTATTTATCTCTTTCTTGCAGGCGGGAAATCTTAGGGGAGGTCTCAATAGAATAGCCATCAGCTTTCCCGGTGTGCTCTTTCAGTGTCGTGGTCTCCAATGATTGGTCAGTGCCAAGGCAGGGAGTCTTTAGTCGATGTAGCTGGTCCTGAGGCAGCCACAGTGTCACTTGTCTGGTTTTGCTGCTTTTCTGGGCTTGGAGCTACAATACAACTGAGGCCTAGATGTTATCTTTAGGGAAGAAAGCTCCGGGGGTCTAAACCGCATGACCAGTGATATGCTAGGGGAGGATAGGTTACCCTGGGGACAAAGTTCTTGTTTTCCCAGTTTCGCCCCTTGCTAAGCATCTGGGGCTTCCTGCCCTGGTGAATTTATATACTCTAGTTTCTGTACCAGGGTTTCTGTACCTGGCCCATCTAACACAAACCATTTACTCTCAAGTGTCCTTGGTTTAGGGAAGATTTACCTTGTGGCTACAAACTGCTGTTTAACTATGCTGTTTCCTTATTCCACTTGCCCTGGAATTTTCCTAGCTTTTATTGTGCTATAACGAAATGATGTTGAGAAAAGTGGGGATGAAGAGACAGGTGGAGCTGAGAGATTGCCCAAGAGAAAGGAGTCGTGTGTAGAAGCCATATAGATGGCCTGGTCTTTCTATAATATCAATTTCTCTGGATCATTTGGGGAGGGAATAAAAGTCTGTAACCTAAAACATTAAAAAAGCTTTTTCTTTTTCTTTTAAATATATCTTTATTGATTTCAGAGAGAGGAAGGGAGAGGGAGAGAGAGAGATAGAAACATCAATGATGGGAGAGTCGTTGAAGGGCTGCCTCCTGCAAGCCCCAGACTAGGGACCAAGTCCACAACTCAGGCATGTGCCCTGACACGGAATCCAACCGCGATCTCCTGGATCCTAGGCTGACGCTCAACCGCTGAGTCACACCGGGCCAGGCAAAAAAAACCCACAACTTTTTATTGATTGGTTTGAGAGAGAGAGAGAGAGAGAGCTTGATTTGTTGTTCCACTTACTTAAGAATTCATTGGTTGCTCCTTGTATGTGCCCAGACCAGGGGAATCAAACCTGCACCTTTGGTGTGTGGGGATGATGCCCTAACCAACTGAGCTACCCAGCCAGGGCTTAATTTAAATCTTTTTAAAATTAAATGTTTTAAGTTAAATATCTTAAACTATTCTTAAAGTCTTAAAGGAATATTAGGACTTAATAGCAAAATTCTCCAGAATTTTTAAGCTAAAACATGAAATTTCTATTAAAAACTTTTCTTTTTCCTTGCTTGTGGGGTAGAATTTGGGCTCCTTCCCCAACTGGGGCTGATTCCCTTTGCTCTGAGGTTGAGGGATGAGAGCCCAATGCCTGGCAACTAGTGATGGCAGCTATTGTGATTTCGGGAGGCCTGGAAGGGACGCTAAGTGCCCAAAGTTGACTCAGCCAGAGGCCGTGGGCAGGAGCAACGCGGCGCCGCGCCGACCCTCGGCGACGGCCTCTGGGCGCGAGCGGGCGGATCGGCGGTCTCGGCATCGCTGGCTCCGCCCCCTCGCTCGGGCTCCGCCCAGCGCTGGCTCCGCGTGGTTTTCACCGCTCCCGCTCGCGGAGCGGCCCCGGTGGTCCAGAGGCATCTCCTGGGTGCTGTGGCGCGGTAGGGAGAACCGCAAGCTCCCAAAGGGGTCGGTTTGTCACTTCTCCCCGAAACGTGCTGGGAACGCGCTCTGCGGGAAAAACTGGACTCCACCGGCTTCCGACAAGCTTGGGACAGAGCGTCCTGGAGCCCCTTTCGGGACAAGTGAGCGGGCCCAGGGGAAGGACAGTCCGGGGTCACCAACCGTGCCGCCATGGCTGCGCCCGTCCGCCGTCTGTGCCATATCGCCTTCCACGTGCCTGCAGGGCAGCCCCTTGCCCAGGACCTGCAGCGCCTCTTCGGCTTCCAGCCCTTGGCGGAGCGGGAGGCAGACGGCTGGCGGCAGCTGGCCCTGCGCAGCGGCGACGCGGTCTTTTTGGTGAATGAGGGTGCGGGGACCCGGGAGCCGCTCTATGGCCTGGACCCGCGTCACGCGGTGCCCAGCGCCACCAACCTGTGCTTTGATGTGGCGGACGCGGACGTAGCCGCCCGCGTGCTGGAGGCGCAGGGCTGCTGCGTGCTGGTGCCCCCTGTAAGCGTGCAGGATGCACAGGGTGCTGCCACCTACACCGTGGTCAGCTCGCCCGCGGGCAACCTCAGCCTGACGCTGCTGGAGCGCGCCAAGTACTGCGGACCTTTCCTGCCCGGTTTCCGGCCCCTGTCCTCCAAAACCGGCCCGGGCTGGATCAGCCACGTGGACCATCTCACCCTGGCCTGCACCCGGGGCAGCTCCCCCACACTGATGCGCTGGTTCCACGATTGTCTAGGCTTTTACCACTTGCCACTGAGCCCAGGTGAGGATCCAGAGCTGGGTCTCGAAGTGACAGCAGGGTCTGGGCAAGGGGGGCTGAGGCTCACTGCCCTGCAGACCCGGCCATGCAGTGCTGTCCCCACCCTCGTGTTGGCCGAGTCCCTGCCTGGGGCCGCCAGTGGAAAGGACCAGGTGGCGCAGTTCCTGGCCAAGCACAGAGGCCCAGGCCTGCAGCATGTGGGGCTGTACACACCAAACATCATGGAAGCCACTGAAGGGGTGACTCTGGCTGGGGGTCAGCTCCTGACTCCTCCTAAGGCCTACTACCAGCAGCCAGGCAAGGAAAGTCAGGTCCTAGCTTCAGGGCATGAGCCCAACAGGCTGGCCCTACAGGGAATCCTGCTAGACGGCGATAAAGACAAGCTTTTGCTTCAGGTCTTCACAAAGTCCCTCTTTGCAGAGGACACCTTCTTCCTGGAGCTGATTCAGAGGCAGGGGGCCACAGGCTTTGGCCAGGGCAACATCCGGGCCCTGTGGCAGTCCGTGGAGGAGCAAGCTGCCAGGGGTCAGGAAGCCTAAGGATAGCCAGAGCTGGCAGCCTCCTGTCCTGGAGGTCTGGGGAGTCTAGCACGAGGCCTGGTGGAACCAGAGTGAAAGGCTTTGTTCCTAGGGGCCAGGTGTGGCCTCAATTTCATCAGTACCTGCCAGAAGCTGAATCTCTCACTGGGATCCGAAGAGGTCAGTGTTTGTTTTGAACTATGAAATGTTTCTTACATAATGTATATGGAAGATATAAAGCAGTGTGACTACTTTAGGAAACAGACCATAAGCAATACTTTTGAAGACTTTTATGTCCTTCTCTGACCACATTTCCCTTCACCTACTCCCAATTTTAGGATTAACCCCTTCGTTTCCTGTATTGTTTCACTACATCTAATATATCCCTAAATAAATGATTTCTTATTTGAGGTAGGAATTCAAAAGAGAACAAATCTTCCCCTGTGCTTCTCTTCTCCCCTGGGAGCAGCCATAGCAGGGGGGAGGGGCTAGGTCAGGGCTAAGCCAAACCACCTGCTCTAGAGCCATACCACTGCTCCAGAACTGACCAGAGACCTGGAATGAAGGTGTGGGAGGACAGCCACTGGCAGGGACTTCCTGCAGCTGCCTTCTACATCTCTTTTGGGGGTCAAGGGATGGCAGATTACACTGGACAAAACACCCCCCTCTATCTGCCCAGGGCTGGCTGGGAGCTCAGCCAAAAGTCAGGACCAAGCAGGACTTTACCACTTTCTGGGACCCTCAGAGGTGAGGAGGAAGGGGGCCAGGGAGAGGATGGGAAGTCTCCAAAACAACTATAAAAATAAGCACTTTATTAAACAACATCATTCTCAAGGGGAGGGGGCCTTCCAGAGGTGTCACTGGGCCATACTGTTGAGTCTAGGTGCATCAGTGGGGATGTGAGGCCGAAAGAAACTATCCAGGACTCGCTGGCCTTTGCTGGGCTTTTTCCGGCTGGATGGAGTAGACACCTGGGATCTTTTGGAACTCTGTTCAGAAGCCAAAGAAGGCAATGAGGGGACAGCAAAGAATGTTCTCCTTTCACTCCCTACCCCCACTCCACTGATCTAGCTCAGACTCTAGCCTGAATATAGTAAGGCTTCTAACCTGTATCTCTAGGAGTCAAACATAATCTTCCTCAAATATAAATTTGGCTCCTCTCTCCACCTAAATGCTTCCGTGGCCTGGCGTTCACAGCCCTGCCAATTGCTCCAGCTAGACCAAATGCTCAGGGTTCCTCTCACTGCAGACTGCATTGTTCCCGCCATTGCTTACACTACTCCTGGGACTGAAAGAACATCCTTACTGCTGATTCCCTTCCCAAACCTGGAGAAAATGATTCATTTCTAGGACCCAGATTACCAGCTGCTTCTTTCAAGCAGCCTTTCCCTGATCCTTTCCTCCCAGACAAAACTGAGAGCTCTCCACCTCATAGCCCACACAATCTAGTACATTTCACACACCTGACACTACTGTCTCCATCATTTGCTCTTATCCCCTCTCCACCTGGACCCCAGACTATAGGGTCTCTAGGTCAAGAACTATTCTTCTCCCCCTAGTGAAACTTGGAGTGGACAATGTTCACCCAAACCTGTGTCACTGTCCACGCTGAAAAAAAACCTGTGTCACTGAATCCACGCTGAAAACCTGTGGATTCAGTCCTAGGGAGAGACATGGCTGGGTGAGGGCCAGGGGACTCACCTTGCAGGTCCCTGGCTGTTGGCCCTCGTACACGCGGAACACCTAGCCAAGAGAGGGGGACAGTGCAGGGCTGGCAGCTTCCCCCAAAGAGTCAGAACCCTGTGTTCTGTCCTCAACTTCGTGCCCCAGTACTTTTGTTTAATATATGCTTTTTTTGTTTGTTTACATAGTAATGGGTTCATGCAGAACATGTAGGAAACAACAAATATAGTGCCTTTTTCATGGCGGTGGAGACAGCTGCGGTGTGAAACTCTTCCCGGGTCAGCCAGCGAGCGCCAGGTGGTGTGATTGTCACTGGGGCCTGCCCTTCAAGGGCCAGACCATATACTTGATAGGTCAGCTTGATGTGAGAGAAGGTGTGGACCACCTGGGGGAAGACCAAGGGGCTTAAACAGGCCTTTGGATGTGGCTGAAAAGCCATCATTCCTGGCCCCTCACTGTTCATTTACCTGCCCAAGGTGCTGCAGGCGGGTGGCTGGGAGAGGCCCGGCCCAACTCTGCAGTTCCTGCAGCAGGGCCTTGTGCTCATGCTGCCCTGAGGGATCCACAGTCACAGACGGAAACTCCCACAGTCCTGCCAGCAGACCTGAGACAGAGGTCAGCAGGTGTGAGTTAGGCCTTCACTGTTGACACCTCCATCTCTTCCCTTTTGTTCATGCCATTGCCCTCCACTCCCAGGAACCAGGTACCTGAGCTGGGCCTCTGCACCAGCAGAATTCGGGCACCCCCAAGGGCCTTGGGCTGTTCCAGGACACAGGTGGCAGAGTACTCCTCCCTGGGGGGCCTACGGCTGGCCTTTCTGGGAAAGTTGGTCACTCCCAGGGTCTGGTCCCAGGGCTCTGTAGGAGGTGCGCACAGCTGGCACTGTCCAGTGTTGGCAGCTGGGAATAGAGACCCCCAAGCCCCACTCAGGCCAGGTGGGCGTAGGTGCCAAGCCCAGCTTGGCCCAGCTCTGTAGAATTTTACTCAGGTTGTAGGATGAACTGGAATGAGGCTTCCAGAGGCAGCTCCTTGACAGTGCAGGGGAGGGCTGGGGCTAGGACCGGTACTCACCACACTCCTCCACATCAGGACTGCCTGGCAGGCTCTGTGAAGCTACAAGCTGCTCCCGCTCCACCTTAGAAGCATAGAGAAGGATGTCATGGGGCAGGGGTCACTCCCTAGGACCCAACTGCCCCTTCCCGGTAGCTCACCCTCTGGTGTGCCCGGCACAGGCTCTGCACAGGGCACTGGCTGCAGAGCGGGTGCTGTGGGGTGCACACTGTGGCCCCCAGCTCCATGGCTGCTTGGTTGAAGTCTCCTGGCCGGGCTGGGTCTACCAGCTGCTGGGCTAGGCTCCTACCAGAAGGGAACATTTATGTGAGCCAAAGACCCCTTGGAGGCACCCTTCCCAATATCCCACATTACCCCAATATCCTACCAGAGCTGCTGGGAGACAAAGGTGCTGCTGGGATCAGCACCAATGCCTCGGACACGGCATAGCACCCGCATTACATTCCCATCCACCACACCGGTTACCTGGCACAGAGGAGTACAGGAGTCAGCCTGGTCTGGGAGGAAAGTGGGCATTCACAAAATGGGGTGGGCTTTGGGCTCACCTGGCCAAAGGCAATGGAAGCAATGGCTCCAGCTGTGTACCGCCCCACACCAGGAAGGAGCCGCTGCAAGGTCTCTGCTGTGCGTGGCACATGGCCCCCGAGCTCCTCTACCACCTGATTGGGGTAGGAAAGGTTCAAGGTTAGGAGATATCCGAAGCCCTGGGGATCCCACCCTCCCTGCCACCCCTTACCTTCCGGGCTCCCTCCTGCAGCCGCCGGCCTCTAGAGTAGTATCCTAGGCCAGCCCAGAGCTGGTTCACTTCCTGTGGGTGGGGTCAGAAGTCAGAGAAATCAGCAGTCAGTCCTCTGTTGTCCCCATTTTCCCCTCCCCTAGGGTGGGTCTTACCTCCAGGGAAGCACTGGCCAGATCTTGCAGTGTTGGCCACTTCTATACCCAGAAGGTAGGCAGAAATAGATGAGGTCAAGGGTGAGGGAAATAGAAGAAGCCTTCTTTACACCACCCCAAAGGACAGGCTCTCATCTGGGGTCTAACCCATTGACCCTCCCCTTCCTTCCCTGGAGTCACCTGCATCCATCTGGTATAATAGTCGATCACCGTGGCAACCTGGGTCTGCTGCAGCATGACCTCTGAGACCCACACTGGGGGAAAGGGGTTGGCATGAGGGCACTGCTGACCTGCCCTGCTCCTAGCCCATAGTCCCTGATCCCAGACCTGAGGGCATCCAGGCAAAGCAGTTCTGCTCTCAGGAGATGTGCTCACCAGCATATGCCCGCCTGTCCAGGTCCACCTCATCCTCTGCCTGCCAATGCAATCCCAGGTGGGGAGTTAGTGTGCAGGGGGCTAGGAACTAGCCTCCCCCCATCCCGGTCCCTTGCCTGCCTACCCGCCTTCTCCAGGGTAGGTCTCGCTTCTCTCCATCGTACCAGCTCAGCAGGCTCTCCCGGAAGGCTGTGACCTCAGCTGTATCTCTGAATAGATGGTACCGGGAGACAGAGGCCTGCAATACCACCTCCTGCTGCCTGGCCTGGCCTGCTGGGGCCTCAGGAAACTCAGAGTTGCCCCTGCACAGGCTGTGCAGCCTGGTTGCAGTCTGCTCCCACTTAGGGCTTCCACCACCCCTAACCCCTTGCTTAAGCCTTGGACCTGGAGTCAGATCAGACTTCTCTAGCTGTGTGAAGCCTTAGCCAAGTTTCTAGCCTTAATTTTCCCAGTGTGGTACTGCCGGCTCCTTTGTCTCCAGGTCATAATAAAAATCCAACAGTTTTAGCCAAGCATAACATATACCAGTACAGGGCTTTCCCATTTACAAACTACTTTCAGGCTGATAAACTCATTTTACCCCATGAAAGCCACATGAGGAAGAAAATGCACAGACTACTGCTCCGTGTCACAGGTAAGAAAGCAGCCATTCAGAGCAATTATCCCAAAGTCCTTAATTAGTCCCTTAATGCCTCAATATATATCATGCTCCCTCCCTAGCCAATGAAACCATCCCCTGAGTTTTTTAACTAGGTCCGAGCTCCTCACCATCAGGGACAGAAGGCTTGGCCTGCCTGCTGTTGAGGGCAAGTTTCTTCCTTCCTTCCTGGCTAGATGCCCATTTCCTGCGACGACTTCCCACAGCTGCTTGTGGCTTCTTCATGATGGTCTAGAATACAAAGGCCCAAAGTAGTCAGTCAAAATTAGGCTGAGCCTGACCAGGCATGGCTCAGTAGTTGAGCATTGACCTAGGATCCAGGAGATCGAGGCTCGATTCCTGGTCAGGGCACATGCCCAGGTTGTGGGATCGATCCCCTTTCAGGGCATGCAAGAGGCAGCCGATCAATGATGGCTCTCTCATCATTGATGTTTCTATCTCTCTTCCTTCCTCTGAAATCAATAAAGATATATTTTTTTAAAAAAATTAGACTGAATCTTGGAGCCCTGCAAGGGGTGGAGCCACCTCCCTACACCATTCACATGGAGTCTCTAGCTTTTCTCAAGAACTCTCCAGATGCTCATGGGCTTGCTCTTGACTGGCTGTGGCACTGAGGTATGACCAATTGGGCTGAGCTTCTCCAAATGGCCTCAGATGGACCAGCATTAGTACAGTCCTGGAGACAACACAAAATAAGAGGCGAGGGCTGGGCTGGGTCAGGAGCGAAGCCTCCTGTGTAGGAGCACCTGTGCATTCCTAATACTTACTGTGACTATGTGTGTGGACAGGGTTGTGTCTAGGAGCATGGGGGTGGGAAGTTTATCTGCTTAGAGATGTAGCATGTTTACAATGAAATGGTCTTTAACAGTCATCTAGTCCAAACCTTCATTGGAGAACCTTGAAAGGAGAAACCAAGGATCAGAGAGGGGAAAAGACTTGCCTGAGAGCAGATGTCAAGTTGGGGGGGAGAGAGATGAGCTATTTTTATTCCTAGTCTTTTCCTGATCTAGAAAATCATAGCTAGCTGGCCATTAGCAATGAGAAAAGGCATTTGGTTGATCTTCACTGCTCCCTTACTGTACTTGTAGCTGCCTTTTTTCTAATTGCTAAATGTAGCTAACAGTGAATGCTTACTATACACCAGACCCTAAGTGCTTTACCAGATGTCTCAATCGTCTGATGTCTCCATGAGGCATGTCCTAGTATTACCTCCATTTTAGTTGAGGAAACTGAGGCTTGTAGAGATTAAGCAACTTGTTCATTCAAACCCAAAGGTTTGCATCCAGAACCTACACTCTTGCACTCTGCTATACTGTAGTCCCTGCTGAACCTCTGGTTTAAACTCTCTCCTCAAACTTTTTATTTTTATTTATTTTAATTTTTTTATTGATTTCTGAGAGGAAGGGAGAGGGAGAGATAGAAGCATCAATGATGAGAGAGTCACTGATCTTGCACGCCCCCTCCCACCCCACTGGGGATCAAGCCTACAACCCGGGCATGTGCCCTGACTGGGAATTGAACCATGATCTCCTCGATCATAGGTCAATGCTCAACCGCTGAGCCATGCTGACTGGGCTCTCCTCAAACTTTTGACTTTGTCATCTCATTTTCATCAAAAGAGCTTGCTTCCTTCTTGAGGGAAAAAAAATGAATGTACAAACTTACCTCCATCTGCACTCCCCTTCTGTGAAAGAATGGTCCCTCTTCCCAAATTGTCTGAGCTCAGGGTCCTGCTCCTCCAATCCCCTCCACAGGACCCACTCTCCTCCCCTTCATAGTCAAACTTCCTTCACCAAACTCACTCACTTCCATTATTCATTCTACAATCCATTCTTCATAGGGTAAAGCAATCTTTTAAGACATGATCTTGTCACTTTCTTATTTAAAACCTTCAATAGCTTCCCATTAATTCACTGAACAAGTATTTATGGAGTGCCTACTATGTGTCAAGCAGTTTTAGATATTTCACTAAATAAAACACCAAAGGTTCCTGCCCTCACAGGGTTTATATTCTAATGGGGGCAGACAAGTAATATACATAAGTAATTTATATAGGATATTAGGTGATAAATACTAGCATAAAGAGAAAAAGCAGAGCAGGTGAAGGGGTAAGAAATGGGCAGGGGGTGGAATGTTGCAATTTTAAAGAACGTGGTCATGGCGGGGCTTTATTAAAGTGATATTTGACCAATGACTTAAAGCAGCTGGAGAAGTTAGCCATGTCGATACCTGTGGGAAAAGCATACTAAGAAGGAGCTAGTGCACCCTAGCTGGTTTGGCTCAGTGGTTAAAGCCTTGGCCCTCAGACTGAAGGGTCCCAGGTTCAATTCTGGCCAAGGGCAGGTACCTCCATTGCAAACTTGATCCCCCGCCCTGGTCGAGGCCTCGAGAGGGAGCTAGTGCAAAGGCCCATAAGGAGGGACTGGTGTGTTTGTAGAATAAGGCAGCCAGTGTGGTTAGAATAGAATGAGGAGGGGGTAAGGAATAGGAAACAAGGTCAGAGAGCTAAAAAAAGGGGGGGGGGGG